CTATGCATCTTGGGTTTTGCCTCAAACAGAAAAAACTCTAGTTTTTATTCAGAAAGAAGTTTTTTCAATTTAATTATGCATTTATCTTGAGGATATTTATTTTTAGTATATATGTAAGCGTGAATGGCCAAAACTGGAGAGACGAATGTCAATATTCTCCAGTGCGTCAAGCCTTACCAAATATGCCGGTGAAATTCCGAATATTTATATTCTAATACATTCAGGCAATAACCGGTGTATATCGATAAGCACAGATATGCTCTGGTGGAGGTGGAAACCAAAAGCCGAGGAGTTGTCTCTAGTGCAGTTCAAAGTGTCACAACAGTTTAAGTTGTTGTAATAAATAAGATTGTACAATGCCAATCACATAATTAAGTAAGTTTATTATTGGTGTTATTTTTTTCCCTCATTTAGAATGTACATTTCGTTTGAAGTTAAATAATTTATTTGTATCTGCTATAACTTAAGTTCCAACTTCAACTTCCGCTGATCGCCATGACTATCGTGCGTTCCGTACGACGTCGGAATGTCGAATTTAGTTGCGTCTACGGGTGCTTAAAGTAGTTTGATTTTGTCAGTCTCGGTACAGAACATCGAAGATGTTAAGCTTTCTCCTGTTTTGGCATATATGTGAGGGTGACGTCTTATCATCAAACATAGATCACACTCACGATTCAAAGTATCAGGTTTTTATTCCTGGTTCATAGAAGAAAAGGTAAAAGGAATGAGTATGTACAAATGGATTAAATATGTTTAGGAGAGTAATCACAACACTGGTTCCAGTATGGAGATGTAAAGTCACAGCTGACCACCTATGTGCGGTCACTTTAGATAAGTTCCAAGTCCGATCGCCTACGCGCGACCAGTAAGCGTCTAGTTGTAGCTCCTTCGCGAGCGTTCTGTTAGACCGCTCTGTCGGACTTCTCGAACCAAGTGAAGATGTGTTTACCTGATTTACTGGAAAGTTCCTACAGAGTGGAGATAGATAGCGACATCTGGTGCCTTCGTTGAGGCACGATTCCCACATATATCGTAATATGTTTTAATAATAAAGAATGATTTAAAAATGTGACAAAAATATTTTTATTCAACATTAATCATCAGACATTTGACGGTGTAAGTGAGAAATAAGGATTTTTAGCAAATATTTCGGACATATACCAAGCGACTAAGTGAATGTTGACAATCACCGGAGAATGTTGAGATTATCCATATTTCGGTCTTTCACGGTAACATAAACAGGATACTATGACTCAGTCCAAGAGAAAATTTTAGAGAACTTTTGTACATCGTGCTGTAAAGTGCAAATTAAGTAATCTTTTGAATGTAAGCGAATTTTAAATGTTTTTTTATGAAGCATATTTGTTAACTGCTTTTTAAAAGAAAAGTGAACCTGTTAACTGTTTTGTAAAATTTATGTGTTGAGATATTTTGCACGATAAATTTAAAGTTAGGAAGTGATAATGATTTGAAGTAAAATAAAAGCTACAGTAGTGAATTTAAGTAGTTAAAAGTTAAGCTCTCCTGCCAGCACGTACAATTTAATGACAATTAAGCTTAAAACATAAGGTACAGTCTTGAAATAGGGTGTCCTTGAAGTCTAGTATGTCTAAGTTATTAATATACAGGATTTTAATTAACAGGGAGTCTGTTGAAACCTTTACACCCTTCCCTCACGAATTTGCATACATTACAATGCTGGAGAGCAGAGGTGAGAAACTGAGTTCATAGGAAACAAAAAATTAAAAAGGTTTCGAAGTTGTAAATGGAAAGTTGGAAAATATAAAATGTGAAATTTTTGCACGCTAATTTCTTCCAGATGTTTGAAAGGAGATGAAACTAAGTTAAATAAGTGATGACTCATGTTCTGTTGAACCAAATAAAAACTACTGCAAAAATTGTAATTTAGTTTTAGACATTTAACTTCATGATTGTAAAAGTTAGCTCATGAAAATTTTAGCGCGATTCTTAAAGAACTTTGTTGCGATTACATAAATTCTGGCGGAGAGAAATACAGGAAATTATGTTAATTAACCTGTTGTTTACAAGTTCAATCTTTACTATAACTTCTTTCCGTATTCCTCACCAAAATGCAAATGAGTATTTAAATTGAGGTTTCGGGTTTTGAGACACAGCGTGTTTCTGGCATACCGCGCGTGCTACATCGCTAGTTTTTTTTTACCAGCTCCTAAAGTAGTAGCAATTATTCAGCTTTGCGGTTTCTCGCTGCTGACACTTTAATTATGACGCTCCGCTAGAGTTCTCGGCCTAACGCCCTTCTAACAGTAATTTATTACGTAGTCCTTGACTACTGTCCAACGTTCGATTTAATTTGACCAGTTCTGTTTTATTTTTCATCACCACGAGTTGTGGTCACATTGCAGAGCAATAGAACCCTGGGTGATTTGTAAGGACAGGCGTGCCTTTTGTTTATCTATCTTAGTCTAAAATAACGGGTCATTTTACGCCCTTCTCTCTTCAGTCTCTGTAGCACTTTTAAGGCTTAGACGATATAGTCTTATTAAGGTTTGGTCACAACTTACAATAAAGTCTACTGTGCAGGCAAGCCTCCACATTTATTCAACATCAAGTCTGTTCACTGCGACCACTCAATGACAGAGCAAAATTGACGGCTACAACCAGTCTGGCTGTTCTCACCGCGGATGAATTTGAGTCTGCAATTTTTGTTCTTTTTCGTTCCTTTCTGACGGCCATCTCCATATAGTTTCAAGAGAATGCATTTTGCCGAGTAAAGAAATTGGTACTGAAGATTCAACTAAAATTATCTAGATGCTGACTCCTGTAGTAAAATTAACGAGGTTCTACGACTCTTCAAAAATATATTGGAATTGAAATATTCTCGAAAGGACTTCATGTGCACTTGTTCCACTTTCAGGATGATATGAATATCCGCCTTGTGCTTCTTCAAAAATATATTGGAATAACCAGTCAACTCAATTTCCTCCGTTATAAAATTTGATATTTTTTATCATGAAACTTTGTTTAACGGAGATGAACTGAGATTTACTTTGATTGGAATATTACGCATTTCTAGTACGAAAGGTTACGATTCAAAATGGTAGGACTGATACTTACTTCAGCCGTATGATCTCGGTCTATTATCTTCTGTCTGGCGATGTTTTCTTGATTTATGCTGGTATTATTTAAAATTTCCCGATGTCAAGATATAATAAATTTCTCTTAATTCACATTATTTGAAGTGTCAACCTTTGGGGGTAAGTTACTTTAATTTTATATTTCTTTCAGATCACACATTTCATGCTGCACATTTATCAAGTATATCTGGCTTATTGCGCACACCACCATATTTTCATTACATTTACCTAGCTTACAAGATAAAGATAGTAATTCGTCTTATGGTTCTCGGCGACATTTCACGACTAATTTGGTAATACCCTAGAAGTTTCCTGAAATTTCTGAAGGCCTAGGAGAGATTTTCTTGAAGCTTGAGAAAATGCTTGGACAATCTTTCATATACAGGTTATGCTGAAATCGTGAATCAGCTAGTTCAGTTAGTTCAATAATTCAGTTTAAAGCCGTGCAACTGTACTTAAATTTTGTTTGATGGTCATTGCTTTACATTTTGTTCTGTGAATGATTTTGGTGACCTGCAAAAGTATCAGCACATAAAAAAGAATTTGCTTTATGCCTGCGTCTCTCCTTGAACTATAGCTGTTTACATTGCTGTATGAAAGAGTTATAACTAAAGTATTATTTTCTTCTTGGACATATGATGTAGTTATAAGAAGATCCCTATGCACTCATAGTGACCAAAAATGTGTTCATAAAAATCCTTATGCGGCATTTATTTCCAAAACCGTTGGTTGTCGACATGCCCTGCCAAATGCAAAAATATTTAACATGGTATAAATTATGTTATGATACTTTTAAATTAAAAAAAAAAACAGTTTTTAAGAGTTATAAAGTCTAACATCTTTTAACATATCCCAGTTCATATAGCTATACTTAATAAAATTTTATACTTATTCTGAAATCTGAAACATACAAGAGATTTCACTTCTGTTTGACCAAAATTGATAAAGATATTTAATTTCAAAATTTAGGATTATCCCAGTTATTTTTTGCTTTTTTCTGAGAGATCCATTAAAAATAAATTAGAACTGTTTTCAAAGTCCACATTTTTCTCCTTTTACTGTCATTCAGTAACATTCTTTTGGGATTTACAAGTGTATAACATTCCTTAATTTATAATTTTTTTATATTAGGTATAACAAAAGTTTTTTCAGGCAGGTAGTTTAGAAGTTTTTAAATGCTAAAAATGCGTCAATAATACTGACGTGCCGTTTTATTGCTTGAAAATTATAATCTACACTAGAAATACTTTTTATTTTTCAGTTATTCAAATAGCATTAAGAATAGACTGCATGCTGAAGCTGCCTCTGTTTTCTAGAACACGAATTCTGTTAAGTTTCTGTGCATACACTCTCTTTTTTTGAATAAAATTTGTATTGATAGAAACTTTTCGAGATAGCCCGCACAGGAATGCTCGTTCCTTAACGTGTATTAATTAACGTAAGATATTATTTTCTAAACTGAGATTTTTAGTTTCGTACAAAGTTGAGTATTTCACTATTCTATTTGTATACAGCTTTTGACTTTTCACGAAACATGATTTCAAACTTTAAATATCTCAGTCAACTTTTGTCATATGGCAGTCAAACGTTTTGAATTTCATGTTTTAGAATAAGTATATATGGACTGGAGGGAACATATAAAAACGAAATTTCGTAATTTTTACAAAATTGACTTTTTTCGATTAGTTTCCAAAACATGAATAATTGTCTTATTTAAAACATTTCTGTTACTGCAAATGCATGTCTACGACTATAACATAAAGATTGCAAAATAAAGACTGCGTAAAAGGACATATTGCATTTGAGCATAGTTTAGAACTGCACTGTAATAGAAAACTTGTTTTTAAGATTTTATCTATGTTCCATTATTACAAAAGTACTTACGGGCAAAACTCCGCGAATTGTTCTTCAGTCACTGGAAAAGGTTTTTCACCACGATGTACTGCCTGGCACTTAATGTAGGGGCTTTCATCACACATATCAGAATCAGACTGACCTAAATGTGTTGAACACCTTCTTTAAATACGTATCATCTACATTAGAAAAATACCAAAAAAGGGTGGAAATACGTAACAAAGTATTTCGAAACTTTCATGTAACAAAAATAAGAAAATTTGACACATATTTCGAGGAAATCTAGAAAATCTAGTTCCTTTAATTAATATTAATAATAAATACATGATAAAAATGTTTAAAAACTACGCCTGATTGATCATCGTAGCTGTATATTTAGCTTTCGTGATTTTGCCCATGCGTAAATTAAATACGAGCCATTTTTTTCCTAGAAACCCTTCCACGAAGGCATCCCTCTTCTTAGGGAGATAGCTGTCGTCAGTTTTTCTATTTTCAAATAACCTCACCTAATCGATATATTACATTTATGATATTTAACTGTGAAGCTGGTATGTAACAAAATAAGCATTATATATTATGTATGATTTTAAATTTCTTTATATTTTTTAACGAAATAATAGCAAGTCGCTCAGACTTTTATTCCCGGCGACTGGATGAGATTTTCCTGGTTTCGTCACGTGAAGCATAAATATTGGCTATTTTCGCTTCGAAAATTTTCCTTGAAAGCAACTTTCACATTCGAAAACGAACCTAGTATCTTTTGTCAAAACCAAATGACAAACACATTTCTAGTATTCTCACACCGATGTCTTAAGATTAAAATTATGTTGTTTTCATGCACTATATTATATACGAATATAGAAAGGTATCAGTTGTAGTGAAATGCCTTTTTATAATTAGAAAAGACACCTCGAATGTATCAAAATTATTTGAACATGAAAATTAATTTAATAATTGTGACTAAAATTAAAAAATAAAGATAAAAATCTGAAATTCGCTAATTTATTTGATATTTGCGAAATTTTTAGAATGAAAATTGCTTATCTAGTTCATCATTTTTAAACATTTAAGCATATTCAGAACTAATATCTTACCTGAGCAGAATGCAAAAAAATATGCAAAAAAGAGGAACCACATTTTGATTTGAATTTTGAGTACCCTTTCAATTAACACAGAAACTGATCTCTTGAAGTACTTCTGCGTGAATATGGACGTAATGTGTGGCAGGCAATTTCTTTATCTACATAAGCATTTTAAATTCCAGATATTTCCGCACCAAATTAATCTGACCTGAAAAAATGACCACCGGATATCCTTTCAGCTTAGCAATTAGAGAAATAAGCTTTACGTTGAATAGAAATGAAAGATAAAACATCTCTTGCGCCTTTTTTTTTTTTTTGCCATTGACTTGAATTAATCAAAGGAAAACATATTTCAGCTGCATTTGAAAAGCTACAAATATCAAACTGTAGTTAATTAATATCAGAGAGGTAGCTCAATCAGCACCAGCAATGCTCATACAACCAGACATGTTCCGTTTCTGCTGTCTTAAATATGAATTATCAGTGAAAGTCACAAACTGTTTCGAGTTTTACTGAACACATTTTTATCAGAAGTTAAACTCGTTTTTAAATGAATCATCAACTATTTTGAGATACTATTTCGCAGCAACTTCGAATAACTTTTTAAATTTCTAAGCAGTTTCATATATTTTAACACCTGTTACTCTAGATGTTATGATGATCAGAGGGCATTGATTGCTATCCCGAAACTAAAGTTATGGGTTCAACTTCCGTATATGCGTTATCCCTATGGAGATAAAAAGGAGATATATTTCCTACCTCCATGGGAGGTAACATCTGTCAGCCCTTATGGTGTACCTTGAGCAACGTTCTCGGGAAAAGGTTGACTAAACAGCTGATGGATTCGGATGTAAATCCGATGAAAGCTTAACCTGCAAACGACCGGCCGCATTTAACCTCTCACTCTTCCCTGACAAAAAATACCTCATAGAGTAGTGGTTCGCAACTATTTTTGCATCATGCACCCCTTTCGCCATTGCTAGAAAATCATTCTCCCCTTCTTTCCAAAACTTGAAAAATACATATATGCATTTATTTAGATTTGGATTCTTTTCTAACGCTTTTATAAATTAAACTGCACAAAATATATAAAATGTTGGTACATGCTAAAACTTGAATAAAAGTAGTTCTTATATTCATATTCATGAACTAAAACTTAACACTTTATCAGCTGAACAAAATGATGCTTGCGATCCCCCCCCGAAACAATGAAGTTTGCCCTTATGAAGAATTCCCCGCTGGTTAAGAACCTTTGACACAGAGGTATTATTATTTTCATTGAGCATAAAATCCTTCTATTAAAAATAAAGATCAGAGATACGACAGCTCATCGGTTTCAGTTGATGAAGTATACGTTATTTTATATATTTTAGAAATTACAGTAAAAGTGTGTTACTCTTCAAAATAAGAAAGAGAATATTCTACTTGTACTCTTTAACAGCATTAAGCAACAAGACTTGATTTACATCGTAAGTGTGATAAATAAAACCCATTTCCAATAACTAACAACATACCAGTAGGAAACATTTTTAACTCTTCTTTTTCTGTACATTACTACTTTCATTAAAAATAAAATCCAGAGACGAAGACGAAATTTTGCAATAACGTAACATTGCAAAACTCTTTTAATGTATCATTTTTCTTAAGCGGTAATATACTTCTCTAATACTTAAATACGAGTAGTAACCCACGGTCTTCGTGCGGAGGAACAGACGTCGCAGAAAAGGGGCGTGGTCGTCGCCATCTTGGATCACGTGACAAAAGGAAGTTACGTAGGTGAATGGAATGATGTCATCAAAGTTTGGTTCTTATCTGTGGCAACGATAATATTTTTATGTTTATGGCAACGATATCTTGAACCACGTGTTTAGACATTACTTTTTAATTTATTATTTTTAATTATTTAGTAAGTCATTAATTATTTACTCTTTTATTTTAATTATTTAGTACGTCATTATTTTAATTACTACATTTAATTAATTTTTATTAAATTTAATATTTTTTTCTTTAAATTTTAAAAATAACTCCTCGAGTTGCATGGGAGAAAAGAGCGTTATCTCTTAGCTGCTCTTCGTCTAATCAAACTTATTGTTTCACATTGTGGACCATTGGTCTCATGAGGCTGAAAGTCTGCGCATGCGTGAACATGCCTTGGCATGAAAACCAGATCACACATTTTTTTTTCACGATGGGAATGAATGCAATCTTGATGGCCAATCAGATTCTTGTTAATAATATCCTTATTTGTAACCACGAATGTTTGTTTCTTGAAACGGACTAAGATTTCTCTTGGCTTCTAAATCATTACTGGGTTTTCAGCGTCTACTTCTGTATGCCAAGAATTAAAAACATTTCATTCTAAAATTTTGTAAATTCAATTTTGCACCCAATACTTGCCCCGCGTTAGTTATCCACTGATGATGCATTGAGACATATAAAATGAATCTTTTAAATTGTCAGTTATCAATTTCTTTATTAATAGAAAAATTTCTCTCTATAATGCCTGTCCATGTGATGAGATTAGAAGCATTTTTGATATTTTCCATGCTTGTGTCTAGTGAAAGTTAGAAAAAACAACTGGGAAATAAACATGTTAAGAAAGACTTCCAGAATCAGATGTAAAACATTTAAATATTATGTTTTCATTATTCTTCTGAAAATTCTCCAAAAAGTAACAGTTCATCCTAAGCTTTCTGTAAAATTCATCCATTATGTGTTAATACCATGAAGACATTTTTCTGGAATCTTCTAGATTTCGTGGATCTATAAATGTTGCCTTTAAATCCTTCTAAACTTTCCAAGTTGCAACGTCTGAAATCCTAAAGAAAAATTACTCCTACCAATTCTGTAATAGCAGAAAGTGAGAAATATGTTGGAAAAAAAAAAGCTGATGTGTACATCCCATGACTTCCTTGTACGGAATATTAAATTATACGCATTTTCCCCTGCATTTCTTTATTCCTCGAATTTCATTAGAGATATATTTCTCATTCAATTAATTCAGCTCTCACTTCGCGGCAAGGCAAAAATACATAAAAACTAAAAATGTATTCGTTAAAAATTGAAAAATATAGAAAAACATAAAACATCAAATTCAGTTAAAATAATTAAAAAAAATTTACAAATAAAATTACAAGCAAAAACAATTCGGCCAGCAGGCAAATTTTTCGGTGCACAGAACTGAAAGTTTTCTTTTGGTCCCACTCGGCAAAGAGACACTGAAGGTGTAGAAAGACTTAATTCACTATTCTAATATAAACAAATATGGCTGTTATGGTTAAAAAAAAAAAAAAGCAATGATTACAATACCTCCTTTACTTCGTACAAAACAAGGAAGTAAAAAAATCAGAGGGGAAAAGTGTAAAATTAATTTTATAGAGAAAACAGATCCATATTGAGACAATTACACGGGAAAAATTCTTACTATGCAAAAATTAGGACGAAAACATTTTAAATTAATTACATAGCTATTTCGCTTTAGCTAAGAATTGTTTCGTAAATTGTGCTAAAGCGCGATTTAAGCACGTATTACCTTGTTCATTTTTCAGATTCAAAATATTGTATAAATTGTCGCCAAACTGGAAAGTAATGTCACTTTACAATATGAGAGCGAAAAATAAAAATGATTAATTTTAATGTTATTTCTTGAATACAGTTTCAATATATTAGCATTATTTTAATAAAACTGATCAACGTTATAATGTTTTTTTTTAAAAAATCGTCCAAAAATTCCCAGATTTCCGATTTAAAACTTTTTTTTATAGAAATTGATCTTAAAATCGCCAAAATGTTGGTAAGTCGCCAAACTTGGAACCGTTTAATAAAGAATTTACATTCTCCAAAGCGAAAAGTTGTTTAAGAGCTCTTCGATAGAAAAAATGAACTAATTTCGAAATCCTTATGTTTCACTTATTGCTCAGAAATTTGAGTATCCCACCGTTTATATTAGAAATAGGAAAAAATTAGAATCCATTCAAAAGATAACTATATTTGTCAATGACTCTCCAAAAATATTTGTCCAAAATGCTAATTCACATTCAAAATGGCAGTCGTAAAAAGAGACAAATTTCAGATGATTAAAATTAAGGACCTTACGAAGCCTGAATCTACATATAATTTCACTACAATTATATTCAAAATTCACAGTAATACTTTAAGAATGTTATATAAAGCTTTTTCAAACATGTGACGGCAGTGTTCTTACATGTAAAAAGTTAAGTGATGCAGATTTCGTGAGGAAAATTAAAATGAAGAGTGCTGATGTTGAACCAAACCACACAGAATATCAAAGCTGGAATACGTGTCATTAACAAACTCATTTTCACACAAAGTGTAGAATGAAAAAGGAAGTCTTAAATTGTCAGAAAAAAATACAAATAAAATTTGTCTGAAGTTTGCATAATAACAGCAGGCACTCAGATTATAAGTAAAAGTTAAGACCATGAAGAATCTGCGGCTGAGCGGCCGGTTGGATTTGCGTATGCTGTTGAACCACTAGCGCTCGGCAAAGTGTTAATCGAATTTATCAGACACTCGAATGATGTTAATGACAAGTGTCTGCCTTTCAATCACACTACTTTTGTTCGATATTCACGACTAATATCAGTACAGTTTCCCATTGATGTATCGAACTTTGCAACGGCGATATAGTTTCCACGCAACGACTGAGCCTTACATCCAGTTAAGTACAACTGAGAAATTACAACAAAATATATAGATTTACATTGAAATAATTTCTTACAAAAACTCGTTATTCTTCTTGCTTTAACAATACACACTGTCTCTAAATGAGGCATTGGTCAGTTTCTTGAATGGAGACTCTTGAGAGTGGTTTGATAACTTAAAACAAATTAAACACGTGTTTTCTTCCTTCAAGAAAGCAATATGTACACATCCTTCAAGACAAGACATCATAAAAAACCTACAGCTTAACCACTTGCGCTAAAAAGACGTGCTACGCACATCGAGATGCTTTTGTCTCAAACCACGAGCGACGTGAACACCACGTCGATAGGCATTTATCGCAAAAATGAAAATAACGTAGTCCACACGTCGCCTAGTAACGAGATTGTTTATTTCTCGAGTTATAGCACTGAATTGAACTCGCAGACGCGGAGCGGCGTAAAAGAGACACTTTACCGCTCGTTATATTGTAGCGCACAGCACTGCAACCGTGAAGTTTAGTCGTAGCGCAAGTGGTTTTCGGATATTACGGAAATGTATAAATTCATCAAGCTCTTCATTTCATAGCACCATGGCTTAAATTTCTCTTTTAACTCCTTATCCCAACTGATTTTGGGTTCTCAAGATCTTAAAACAAAAACTTAATTTAATAACAAAAGGATTAATATATAATGTTGGCCCATACAGTTTTCCAATTTTTTGTAATGACAATCTTTTATTCTAACCTATTATCATGACAATCTTATATTCACAGAATTTCACATTATATCCAATATGCTTAGACTGAGACAAGATCATAAATTAGTATTGAAGAATTTTCCACCTTTATCCTCTGAAGAGGCTTGAACAGTTATCTTCAATTATGTGGTTAACTTCTTTCTTCAAAAGGAAATGCTTCTTTTTATTTTCCGA